AAAGATATGGACGCAATGTTGAAATACTTAAAAAATGAAATATAATCAGTATTATACCTTCTGAAGTTCAAAGATGAAATTATTACTGCTTTTGCCCTAGATGAGAAAGGTTGTTCTTGCCTTTACACCATTGGAAACTCTTACAAAATCTTAGGACATTTCATATATCATCTGGTCTCCAAGGTTCCTCTGAAATATAATATAAATGAGTGTTACTTGATAGAATCCAATTATTTTTAAAAATTTTGTTCATTTGCATATAATCATTCATATACATCATGTTTTAGATATTTAATTTGTGTTTTATACATTCATATACATAGATGCTATATAATTACTATTCTTGATGCCTATTTTCACTCTATCCTTTCAAGCCCACATTGCACCTTTTCCGTTATTCCCATCCTCTACTGTTCCAGTGATTTTCCCCCTCCCGTTTTTCTGCTGCCATTTCTTTTCTTTTGAACATTTATACATAACTTACTCAGTTATCCACCCATTTTCACAGTAGTGATTTTATGCAATATTTGGTGACTGAGATATTTCACGCAGTAAAATGCTCTCTAGTCTCTCCCAAATTATATGTTGTGTGACAATATCATTGCTCCTTAGTGTTGCGTAGTATTCCATTGTATGAATGTACCACATTTTCTCAATCTGCTTGTTTGTTGGTCAGCATTTGGGCTGCTTCCATGTTCTGTCTATTATGGATAATGCTGCTATCAACATATGTGTACCAGAATAGGAAATTCCACATATTCTTTAATCTGTTACTGTGTTTAGAATTACTATAAGGAGGTTCCCTTATATATAGGTTATGGTTTTTTTCTGAATATGGTACAGCTTTTCTTTGTGACTATTAGTCAGTTTTTCCTGTCAAAGGTTATTGATAATTTTTCAATATAGAAATACTTAATAAGGTTGTATGAATTTTTATTGTGAATACATGTGCATTCTAAAAGCTACTATACCTACTCCTTATTTATTTACATAGTTAGTTGTCAGGTACCAAGTTGCTATACAAAATAGGTATTATGTGTAATAAGAAGTTATTAATTAAGAGGCCTGATTTGGGCACTGATGACCCCACCCCCACCCTTACCCCCCTGCTTGCTCCCCCACCTCCAAACTGCTTGCTTACTGCTGTTAGATGCCCTTGGTACCTCTGAGGATGCTTGTGGTGTAGTGGGCCCCTCTTTCCCACCATGCCTTCCCCACCATTGAGATGATGATGATTGTGGCAGTTGGGTGTTGCCTGCCATTTGCTGACACCTGTCCTGGATGGGGACTCCATTTGATCTCTGCTTATCACTTCCTGCCATGTACCCTGTACAGGGGCCCCACTCTTCCTCCTTTTGCCTTGACCCCAGTGTCCTGCACAGATCTTTTCTTTCTCTCCCTTTGCCCCCAATAGGTTTACCAGTCAATACTTCTGAGTCCTCATTCAGCCCTCTTTTTCTCCATGTAGTCTCATGTTGTTCTGTTGCCATCTTAGACTCTCCATGAATGGACTGAGACATCACAGACAATTGGGAGATAGCACCCTGCAAAGGGTTGGCTGACCTCCCTTGTGTGGCCCAGCCATTTGTGGAACCTCTGGTACATGTTGGTGTGTGTGACCAAGACTATTTGAGGCACCACTTTAGAACTTTTCCAGATGGTAAATGCAAAATATTGGATTATAACTGGTAAGTGAGGAGTAGGTGTAATTGTCTTTGTTATTTGTAGGATCAGATATATGATCTTCTTTTCATATACTTTCTATAGCAAATCAGAATGGTTTGAGGGTTTTTTCAAATGTTTTTTCTAATCTTTGCTTTTGTTTTACTAATGGATAAGGATTCTTAGTTTTCTTAACTATCCCTTATCTTTGAAGTTACAGACTTGGATCTGGTTAAATTATTCTTATAAAGCCTGCAGTATTTTATAGTTACGCTCTTAACCACAACCATCCTTCCTTAGTTTGAGATGTATAAACATGTGTTACGAAGGCATAGCTTAATGCTAACAAAGAGTGAACTCTTTAATATTCATATCTGCTTCACTATATTGTATTCATATAAGATATTTCTCTCGTAAGTAATTTCATTTGTTTGTTATTGTTGCTGTTTTTGGACAGGAATTGGATGACATACATGATTAAGGTGGTATTGAGGGTTTCTGAAGCCTGTGAAAGGTGAAAACTCAACCATGATTTCTTTTTCAACTCTACAGCATTCCCTTCCTTGAAGTCTTCATTTTTACTTTAGTCTCAGGTAATTTCAATTCTTATTTTTATAATCATAAATAATTTGTTTCCAAATGCAAAAGCATGCTAGAACTTCATATTAAATTTGTATAACTTTTTCTTTATGTTTTAGGGTTTTTATCTGTAAGAAACACGAGATGAAATGTTTTTCTTCAGAAAACAATCTTAAGGGGAAAATTGATAAATAATGATAGAGTTTCATGTACTTAGAAATATCTGTAGGTTATTAGAAAATCTTGTGTGAAATTTAAGTGAGGCGTTATTTTCTTGCTTAGCTCTTTTCCTAAGCAGATTGTTTTATGTTTTACCTTTATCTCAATATCCATATACACATCTTCCATACATAAATACATTGTCCAGAATTTCTGGAGAAATACTGTTTTCTTTCATGGAAAAATTAAACATATGGGTCAAATTTAATGGCATTTGCCGTCTAATTTTTAAAATATGTGAAGAACATACCACTTACTTTATATTTGTATTTAATGTGTGTCTACATTAATGTAAGGAAACAGTGATGTAGATCATCAAATAATCATTTATACTAGGCATATAAGTTAGGATATAGATTTGCTTGTTGTTACAGAGGCTTAAACAAAATAACTTTTTAAAATAATTTGGGAAGTTTGAGGAAAGCAATCCAGGGATTTGGTGGAGATCTTGCAATTTTTATGACCCATGCTCCTTTGTTTTGTTCTACTATTCTTAATATGTGGCTTATGACTGTGATCCATTGGAAGCAGGAGTGGCATCCACTTCCTAAACAACATGCCTCCAGAAACTCTATGAACTTTGATAGATGTCGATAGTTATAGAAAAGCTTCAGGCATTTTGTTCATAGGGTTTCTTTGAGTTGTGCTCGACTCAAAGGCTGTCAACAGCAACTGTGATCCAAGATGCTTACTTCATGTCTGATTCTATAGCTAACAGAGAAAAGGAAAAGTGGAGGATGTTCTTATATCCTTTAAGGAAGATAGTTGTATATGTCACTTCCACTTATATCTCAGTGGCTGTATTTGAGTTCCATGGCCACAGCTAACTTGTAGAAAGAGTAAAACATGAGTTTTGCCTAGAAGCTATATGTCCTACTTAAAATTCATTTGATGCATAAGGAGGAGAAAATAGATACTGGAGATCACCTGATGTCTGCCATTTTAGGATTTATATTAGATCTACTTTAAAATATACTTTTTATTGCCCCAGAAATTAACTTTGGCCTCAGTTAATACTTTCGAAGTTGTGCTAATTTGACTTCAGAGGCTCAAATAAGACATCATGGTTCTAGTTTTGTTACCATACCCAAACTCTTTGCCGCTGAGTCAGAACTCACTCATAGTTGTTCCTCCTTTAGGTTTCCAAGGCTGTAAATTGCATGGGAGATTACCTGTACTAGATTCAAGCTGCCAGAGAGACATGGCTTTTAGGCTAGCAGGACCATTCCTATGCACTGCACCACCAGAGCTCCCTTAGTTTTGTTATATGTTAAAAGTTAAAATGACTAGAGGTAATTAATTTTTGTTTTACTGGTATTACCTGATTTGTTTAAAATTTTAGACTGTAAAGTACAAATCCACTACTTGTATGTCAGTTTGTCTTACTGTGGTGGCTTGTGTGTTGATGTGATGTTAAGAAGCTATGCTACCAGAATTATAAATATTAGCAGGGTCATCCATGGCTGATAGGCTTCAGAAGAGCTTACAGACTAAAACTGTAGGAACTAAGCTTGACCATCATCTTCTGAAATAATGGATCCTTGAAAGCCCAATGAAATCAGAAGAACACTATTGTATTGTGGGAAGATGAGGCCCTCTAATTGAAAAGCACTAAAAATATGACTTGGGAAAAGCTGCCTCCTCAAATAATGACGTGGATATAGTAAAACTGTCATCAGTGAAGGTTCATTTGCTGATGTGGCATGACTCAAAATGAAGAGAAACAGCTCTAGCAATTAATGGAATACCAATTAGGAAGTTACAGCAAACATGTGCTCATTTGTCTTTGCCAACAAATTTGGAAGAGAAGTACCTGGCCAGCCAGCTGGAAAACATACATATTTGTGCCCATTTCAGGGAGTGGGGGGAAAGTGCAGAATGTGGAAATTATAGAATAATATCATTAGTATCATATGCTAGTAAAATCTTACTCAAGATATTAAATATTTGGAGGAGTACATCAGCAGGGCATTGCTGGAAATTCAAGCTGGGTTCAGAGGAGGCCATGGAATGAGGAATATCATTGTTAATGTCATATGGATTTTGACGTTCATTTGATTGGTTAAAAAGACAAAATAGTGTTGATTTATATAGTTAACACCTATTCTGCATATAAGTCCTGATCATTATATAGTACATTTAAAAATAACGGCTCACTGTGGCATTTGGACAAGAACAAACTGGGAGGAGGGTAGATAGAATAGTGCAACAATGAATGAATGGAAACTCAAAATCTCTGTAAATGTTTATGAAAATTAATAAAATATAATTATAGAAAAAAAAAGACCTCAGAGATTTATGGAATACCAATTGGTGGACGTTCTAGATCCCTTTAGTCAGAGGTCCACGTAAACATGAGCGTGTGCACCTGCAGACACCACAGCATAATATATAGTTCAAGTTCTGCATTATTGAAGAAAATGTTGATGAAAAATAATATTACTGCCAAATTCAAGAAATACAACTCAGTGAAAAGAAAAACGTTGTTGCTTTTAGTTGCCATCGAGTTGACTTGGACTTACAGCAGCTCTGTGAACAACAGATCTGAACCTTGGCCAATCCAGCACCATCCTCACACCCTGCTATACCTGAGCCCCTTGTTACACTTACTGTGTCAGTCCATCTTGTTGTGAGTCTTCTTGTCTTTCTCTGACCTTCCTCCTTCCCCAGAATGATGTCTTTTCCCCCAAAATTGGCCCTTTCTGACACTTGCCCAAAATATGTGGAATGAGTCATCCTTGCCTCTGAGGAGCACCTTGATTGTATTTCTTTCAAGATAATTGGTTGTTCTTAGGTACCATCCAGTTGAGTATGACTCATAGTGACCCTATGGACAACAGGTCTGAACCCTCTGCCACCTTGCTTTCTTCACACTTCCTCACACACTAGATCCCATTGCAGCAGACACCCTGTCAGTCCATCTGGTTGAGGGTCTTCCTCTCCTTTGCTGACCCTCCACTCTTCCCAGCATCATGTCCCTCTCCAAGGGAGAGCCCCTCCTAGCAACATTTCTGAAATATGTGAGGCAAAATTTCATCACCTTTAGCCTCAGAGAGCACTCTGGCTGCACCCTCTCCAAGATGTATTTGTTTGCTTTTTTGGAAGTCCATTCAGTGTTCTTCAACATCACAGTTCAAAGGCATTCATTTTTCTGTCATCCCTATTCATTGGCAGCTCTGAGATGCATAGCAAGTGATTGGAAAGACCATGGCCTGAATCTTATACACTTTATTCCACAAACTGATGTAACTATTCCTCAATAAGTTTAAAAAGTCCCTAACTGCAGATTTTCCCAGTGCAATGTGTCTTATTTCCTGACTGCTGGTACTAAGGGTGTTAATTGTGGATCCAAGGAAAATGAAGTTGTTGACAGTTTCAGTCTCTTCTCCATTCATCATGATATTGCCTTTTGGTCCAGTGGTAAGAATCTTTGTGGGTTGTTTGTTTGTTTTATGTTGGATGCAATCCATATTGAAAGCTGCATTCCTTGATCTTCTACACAAAGTGCTCCAAGTCTTTCAGTGGGTTATTGATGAATCTCCCTTGTATCCTGATGCCACATTCCTTTTCATAAAGTCCAGCTTTTTGAATAATTTTCTCAGCATATAGATTGAATAGGTATGGAGAGAGAATATAACCCTGACACACTCCCTTCTTAATTTTAAATCATGTGGTGGTGGTCCCCTACTCTGCTCACACAACAGCTTCCTGGTCCAGATGTAGGTTCTCCATGAGCACAATTAAGTGCTCTGGGATTCTCATTCTTCTCAAGGTCAGCCACAACTTCTTATGATCCACACAAATTCCTTTGCATAGTCAATAAAGTACAAATTGACATTCTTCAGGTATTCTTTACTTTCAGCAGGATCCATCCAACATCAGCAGTGATGTCCTTTGTGCCATAGCTTCTTCTAAATCCTGCTTGAACTTCTAGAAGTTCCCGATCTTTGTATTGTTCCAGCTGTTTTTTAAAAATCTTCAGCAGTATTTTGTTTGCATGTGATATTAATGGTATTGTTTGGTAGTTTCCACATTCATCTGGATCACCTTTCTTGTGAATGGGAACAAATATGGACCTCTTGCAATCCATTGGCCAGATAGCTGTCCTCCAAATTTCTTAGCATAAACAGGTGAGCACATTCAAGGCTGCATCTATTAAATAAAACAAGTCAGTTGGTATCCCATTGATTACTGGGGCCTTATTTTTTCCAAGGCCTTCAGTAAAGCTTCCACTTCCTCCTTCATTACCATTGGCTCCTGTTCATATGGTACATCCTGAAATTAGCAGGTGGATATTTGTTATTTTGTAAAAGACCTAGATGCTTCTACAGGATTTTAAAATATTTATTGCACAAGCCTTCAAAAAGGCTTTAGAATTTAGAGTCTTCTTTTAAAAAATACAATTGTATCTTTAGAATTGCTTTTCTATTTAGTAGTAGTATTGTTTCAGTTTCTAAGGGAAAACCAGAAAGTAAAGAGAAAGGGATGCAACTTTCCTGAAGTAAGTGTTAAGAGTTTGAAGAAAGATTATTTAAGTATGTGTGTATATGTATACTTAAGGAAAGAATTACTGAGTTCAGTTTCACTGAGCTTTGATAATAGGTAGAAGTGAAGAAGTAAGAGATGTAAAAGTGCTGGGGTAGCCATTAGATCAACGAAATAAGTACAGTGATTTTGATTGCTTTACCAAGCCAGGCAGTGGTGATGTGATGGACTCAGACTAGGTAAGAAGAGAATGAGACCAAAAAATTTGTAATATATCCTGGGACTTTTCAAGTTAAAAGAAGCTGCCTGT